ATTGTTATTCTTTACTTCTATATTTTTTCCTATATTGATCTTTCCCCCCGTGATTATGCATTTCATTATTACTCCAATTTTCCTTTCTAACTTCAATCGTTTTATTCTTTCATTTATTGGGTTCTCTTATAGTTTTTTGTAATTGAATCGGCCATCAATCAAGTAACTCTCCCAATACTAGCTATTCAGTTCTCTTTTGAGCAATGCATTATGATTTGATTCATGTCAAATTATTTATTTGTAATTCATTGTGTGATACGGTTATGATTTTGGAAGATGATATTAAATTATAACATATTAAAAAAAAAATTATGTTAATGTTCACTAGTCTTTCTCAGTCTAATAATGTTGACCTTCCATGAGAGAATTTTTGACTACGCGACTGCCCCTCTCCCACCTCTCTCTCTCTCTCTCTCTCTCTCTCTCTCTCTCTCTCTCTCTCTCTCTCTCTCTCTCAATTACTACAGTTAAGCCTGCAAATTAAACCAAGTCGACCTATGTGCGTGTGTGAGAGGAAAAGAGAGCGAGGGTCGGCAATTGGCTGGCAGTGTGGGGGGTGGGGGTTGGAGAGAGAGGTGGTTGCTGCTTGATTTTATTTTTTATTTTTAATTTCAATGTTATCAAATACATATAATAAGGTGCGGGAGTTGTGAGGTTTAGTATAATACAATTATTATGACGTGGTTTAAGATAATAATGGTTAATATTTTATGAAATGCGTATAAATACACCGATGCTAAATGCAGAGGTGCAGGATCCCTGTTTATACATTGAATGCTTAAATGAGATCTTAATCGGATTTTGAACATGCAGTGTAGTGAGATGGCTGTGAGTTTCTTATCTTGGAATTGAAGATGTTAGACAGTGAGTCTTACTTTTAATACTGTTTTCATAATTTTCATGTTTTCTATGGTGCTTTTTTGTTCTTTCCGTGACTTCACAAATTTCAAGTAAGCTATAATTCCATTATTGTTTAATTTGACTAGCTTAATTTTTGTTTGGTGCAGGTTTGATGGATAAGTTTCTAGTATATCAGCAGGTTGAAGTTTCCAGATATTTTTTTATTTTTTTGCTGACTTTATCTTCAATATTATCTTTCTCGCCTCTTCTTTCTCTCTCTTTTTCTTCGGTTAATTTTTTTTTTTTTTTTTTTTTTTTTTTTTTTTTTTTTTTTGTTCTTTCTTTCTATTTTTTAAGATGATGATCCATTATTAGTAGTTTGTCTTCGTTGCTGTTTTGTTTTTTTCCTTCTTTTCTACTTGTTGGTAGTCTAAAAATCTTGTACCCATGAGTTGCATAGATGTTTAATCATGAAACTTTGCTGTTACTGAGGCATCAAGATGAAAAGAATGGTTAAAACTGCTCATTATTTACTAGAAGATAAAGTTACCACTTATGGACTGCATTCGATATAATTCCATTACTATTTAATTTGACTAGTGTAAATAGTTATTCTTTGTTTGATGTGCAGGTCTGATGTCAGTTTCTAGTATATCAATAGGGTTGAAGTTGCAACCACAAGACACAAGAGAATCTACTAGTGACGGATCTTATGTACTTTGTTTTTGGGAATTAGTAATTTAGTAAGAATGTTAATCTTAGGTGACCAATTTGATACAACGGTTAAAAGATAGGGTCTCACTTAAGGGTCATATATATAAGCCCCTCATTGTAGAATTATTTATATATATATATATATATATATACAGTCCCCTTCTATTGAGGGATCCCTCAAATCGGAAACCGTATACTTTTTAGGTCTTCATTCATAGATCATCCTTACAAAAAATTAGACAAATCGGAAACCGTTTCGACATCCAATTGTGTTTTACAAAATCAATGAACACGGTGCTTCAAGAAAGTACTAAAATTTCAATAACTCAATTGAGTGGTCAAATGATATCGGATTCAAGTGATTTTTTGTAGAGATGATCTTTGAATGAGTATCTACAAAATAGACGGTTTGGATTAGTGAAATACAATCCATAGTGGGGCCTACAAGGGGTGTCCCTCAAATAAGCTTATTTGAGGGATCCCTCAATGGAAGCTCTCTGTATATATATATATATATATATATATATCAAATGTATTGTAAAACTTGTGGGTTTCAAAGTGGATACAATTCTAGCGATTTTAAATTTTCAAGAATTGGAAATGCACAAGGATCATATAATTTTCTTAAGTTAATTAACTATGTGTGTTTGAACTTAACAACTAAGGTTTTAAAAATAAAAAAAACTTAGCCGTTCTCTCTTTCTGGGAGTCCCAAATAAAAACTCCGTAGAGGGGGAGAAGGAAGAAGCATTATTGCCCCTCCTCCCCTCTTCTTTCCTTGATTTTCTTTTGAGTTAGTGAATAAGTCCACTAGAGTGTTTTGAATAAGAAGCCCTTTGTGGTGATACGGTTCGTTTAGGCTCATAAGTTGTCTTAGGGTTTCGGTTATGTTGAGTATGTGGACTTTGTTTGGACTTATGGTTAATTGTGGTGATATTGACTAGTAGTTTTAGTGCGACTTAAAAAGTTGGTTTAGATTTGATTGGGCCAATAACAAAAACAAAAATATGTTGCAAAACATGTGGGCATCAAAATGGATACAATTCTAGAGATTTTGAATTTTCAAGAATTGGAAATGCACAAGGATCAGACAATGAATAAGAACGTCAAAGATAGAGACTAGATTAACGTTCTTTACAATTGCTGGGAAAAAAACCAAAACTCTGAGACTTATAGCTTAGTGCTTTCATCTGGAACTTGTGAGTTGGGTCAGAAACAACGAGATCCAAGGGTCAAGGATAGAAAGCGAGGACAGGATATCTGGATCATCAAATGTGAGAGGGAGAAGCTCCATTTATAGGCAAAAGGAATGAGCTCTCAACTTGTGGGTTTCCAAAGTGGGTTTAGGATAGGTTATCAGAATGCAGGCATAAACCAAGACTCTAAATAGACTTTATAGATCAAGTTGGTTTAAGTGTAATATTTTATTGGTATTTTGCTTCGGTAGCCAAAGTCACGAGAATGCATCAATGCCAGCACCTACTACCAGAGTCTGAATGGACTTGCAAACTTGTACAACACGTTGAGGTTAATGTTCTAGGAAAACAACCATTGACTTGCAAACGTGGAAAAGACGTACAGATAAATTTTTACATGCTCCTTGCCTAGTATATATGACTTCACTTGCCGAGTAGCCATGCTACAACAAACAAATTGAGAAAGCCTGATTTGTATAATGGATATTTTGTATTCGAACTTATTCAAGCCTCTCAATATTTTTCACTTTTTGCTCCTTTTGCTTTTGGCATCTTCATATCTACCCACGGGTAGTAACTTCTGTTTCTGTTTGGGTGATGGAGTTCCAAGCACTAGTGTGAAATTATGCATCAAGGAAGAGAGAAGTGCGCTTCTTAGTTTTAAACAGGATCTCAAGGATCCCTCCGGAAGGCTTTCTTCTTGGGTGGGTGGCGATTGCTGTCAATGGGAAGGGATTTCGTGCACCAACCACACCGGTCATGTGGCGAAGCTGAACCTCCGGAATCCATATACATATTTGACATATCAGTATGGGTTTGACGAGTTGGCTTATAAGCAGTCTTGCTTGGGAGGTAAGATAAATCCTTCTTTGCTTAGCTTGAAACACTTATCTTACCTGGACTTAAGTTGGAATAATTTTCAACACATCCGCATTCCTACGTTCTTTGGGGAACTTAAAACTCTGAGGTACCTAAATATCTCCTTTGCATCGTTTGGGGGATTCCCCCTTCTCTTGGTTACTTATCAAACTTGAACTATCTTGACCTCAGTTTGGATATTCTCCACTCATCTCGACTCTTGCATTCCAAAAACTTGAATTGGCTTTCTCATCTCTCTTCCCTAAAATACCTCAATCTTGGAGGCGTGAATCTTAAACAGCACAGGAGTACGTTGGTTGCATGATGTTAATATGGTTCCTTCCTTACTGGAGTTACACTTATCTATGTGCGGAATACAAAGCCTTCCACTATCACTAGAGAGGATTAACCTCACCTCACTTTTGGTTCTTGATATGTCATTTAATGATTTCAATAGTTTTTCATTTCCCAGCTGGCTTTTCAATCTTACTAGCCTTAGAAAACTTGAACTAGGGTCGAATTCTTTCAGTGGTCCTCTTCCAGGTGAACTTGCAAACCTCAAATCTCTGGAATACCTAGACTTATCTTCCTTAGGCCTCAAAGGTCGAAGTATTACAGCCATTATTGGAAACTTGTGCAAGCTAAAGACATTACGTCTTGAGGCTAACAATTTTCAAGGTGAGGAGGGGATTGAAGAGTTTTGGAGGAGTTTGTCAAATAATACAATATTAGAGTCACTAGATTTGGCTGGTTGTGTGCTGGAAGGCCAATTGCCGGCCTCCTTAGGAATGTTAAAAAGTTTGCAGTATTAGGACCTCAGTGATAATTACATGAACGGATCCATTCCACAAAGTCTAGGACAACTCTCCAAACTAGTTGAACTGGATCTGTCTTTTAATTCTTGGGAAGGCATTCTAACGGAAGCCCATTTCATTAATCTCACCAGATTGAAAAGTCTTTCAATATTCAACGATTTGGATGAAATGCGTAAGCCCATGTCCCTAGTTTTCAACTTGGCTTATGACTGGGTTCCTCCTTTCAAGCTCCACACAATTGTGATCAACAACTGTCTGGTAGGTCCGGGTTTTGGGGTATGGCTTCAATCTCAAACTGAACTATCTACTGTTATTCTTCAAAATACTTCCATCTCGGGCTCCATACCAGAGGAATGGTTCTTGAAGATATCTTCCCAAGTCGAATTTTTGGATTTATCATATAACCAAATCTGTGGAAAGCTTCCCATTCCCGTTGAACTTTCAAAAGTTAGATTATATCAATTTGGGTCATAATCAATTCGATGGCCCAATTCCACTTTGGTCCACAAACGCTGTCAACCTTGAACTTGAAAGCAATTTATTTTCCGGGCCAATTCCCTCCAATTTAGACCAATTAATGCCAAACTTAAGACTACTGATTATTTCTAAGAATCGTTTGAATGATACTATTCCACCCACCATTTGCAACATTAAGGATATGCAAGTCGTTTCTATGGCAAACAATAAATTAATTGGAGAATTCCCTCAACAGTGGAGTTTGTGGAGAAGAATACGCATCATTGATGTGGCAGACAACAATCTTGATGGTAATATTCCGACTTCAATGGGTATCCCAAGTTCTCTTCATGTTCTAAAGATGAACAATAATAATTTTGATGGTGAAATTCCTTTCTCTTTACAAAATTGCACTTATTTAAGGATACTTAGTCTTGGAGGCAACAGATTAAGTGGAAACCTACCTTCATGGATTAGATCAAATGTATCCACATTGCAACTGTTACAACTTCGATCTAACCATTTAACCGGGCATATCCCCCATCAATTCTGCAATCTTTTCTACCTTCGCGTCCTAGACCTTGCTGACAACAACTTTTCAGGACCATTCCCAAGTGTTTACAAAATATGACTTCTCTAGTCCAAGCTCATGTTGAATACCTTCTCGACGAGGATTTGGATGTTGGTGTCAATAAATATTAAGTAAATTTAGGTTTTAGCCAAAAAAAAAATTTCACTTTTAGAAAAAGCCAAAGCTTTTTCAAAAAAGACAGAAAAACCTCTCAACTTTCAAATCAAAGACATGCAAATGTAAAGGATTCCTTAGGAAATCCAAAATTAAATAAGGGCAATTTTGTCAATTTTGGCTTCTTTTACAAAATTTCTCTATGGACAAACAACAGTAACGTCTAAAGGGAAAGAACCTGAATATAGAGATGACCAATTAACTCGCTGGGGAAACATCATTGATCTTTCGTCAAACAATTTTGAAGGTGAAATCCCTGAAGAAGTAGGCAGTCTCGTTGAATTGAGTACATTGAACTTGTCGATGAATCGATTAACTGGAAAGATCCCTTCAAGCATCGGAAAATTACGTTGGCTTGAAACTCTTGATCTCTCACATAACCAGCTTTCAGGTCACATCCCTCAAAACTTTTCTTCTTTAACCTCCCTATCACACTTGAACTTGTCCTACAACAACTTGATTGGAAGAATACCTGCTGGCAACCAACTTCAAACCCTCGATGATCCATCTATTTATGAAGGCAATCCATCACTATGTGTGGCTCCTCTTTCGTCTGTTTGCCTTGGAGATGACACAAGTACAGAACAAGCTTTTCCTGCAGAAGACCGCAACAAAGATGATAACGAAGTGTTTTGGTTTTATGGTAGCACTGCACTTGGTTTCACAGTAGGCTTTTGGGGTGTTTGTGACGCGTTGGTTGTGAAAAAGTCATGGAAGCATGCTTATTTTCAATTCTTTGACAACATCAAAGAGAAAGTAGCATTAACAATTGCATTGAAAATAGCTCGTTGGCAAGGGAGATTGTGATGCGAAGGGCAAGTAAAAATGTGCATGCGTGTTTTGGTGGGCTATTACTTGCCCGCCTTTTGCTGCGGAAGCTTACTCTCGAGACTCGTCTTAGGTTTTGAGTTATTGTTTTTGCTAGTTTTTTATTTGATTTGGTGTGGTTTGTATTAGTGATTTCCTTGCTTTGTTATTGGCCATCTTACGATGGGCTTTGGTTCATGTCCTCCTTATTACTCTTTTGTTTCTTCAATAAATTTCTCTTCTGCTGTCGAGATTGTCAAAATAAAGAAAAAAAAAATAACAATAACAATATGCATGTCTAGTGTATGTAGGCGATTAAATAAATCAAGGAACTAAGATATTATCTTGACATTTGTTTTCTCTTTTCACTCTTGTCTATCTCATAAGAAATTAAATTAAAAAGAGATGCTTCTATTTATGAAACTATTGGTGCATTTGCGTCACCAAATTTTAGCGAGTCTCTCACCAATTAATTTTCATTTCATCTCACTCACAGTTTGCTTCCGTCACTTGATAATCAAAATGAGAACTATATTTGCTTTTTGAGCTTTGAGCTTCTGAAAACTATACACAGAATGGAAAATATCATCATATACTACATTATTGAGATGTTCTACTACTGTACAGTAATCTCAACAAATTTTCCAATTTACATCTGAGTCTCTATGAATGCCAAAATTGCCAAACCAGACGCCCAAACATCATCGTCCAATACATGCTCTTCAGGGGAGTGACTTATGCCTCCTCGACAGCGCACGAAAAGCATTCCCACCTGCTCCAAATTTTGCAGGCCAGAATTTTTCACAAGGTGATCAACACAAACAATAACATGGTTTATGATTCATCTGGAAAGTGAAAACAAACCTTAGTTAAATGAGACAGAGCCATTGCATCATGTCCTGCTCCGCTCATCAAAACAGGAACTTCATCCTCAATGGCGGCACCTGTCATTCTCTTGAGTCCGATATAAGTTGCAGACTTTAGCTTTGAACTCAACTCAGAATCACAAATGACTGCATCTGCATCATGCTGAAAAAATACAAGGCATATAAGTATAAGGTTCAGCAGCCTGCAAAATGATGGACTAGGATACGAAAGTCCCTCACCTTATGATCAATTGTACAAGAAACTGAACGTTTATCACATATTTGATACATTCGGTTAGAAAATTCATAAACAACAGCTTCACGTCCCATATCATCTATAGTGCGCAAATCTACGGTGAACGTTACCTGAAATCAAGAAGTTCATTTTCGTTACATATTTTGACAATTGAATGACAATTAACCCCATTTGAGCAGGCTGGCGAATTTAGCAGTGTCAAGAGATGAACTTCTTGCCTGGCCTGGAATGACATTGCTTGCACTTGGCCAAGTTGATATCTCTCCAACGGTACAAACTAGTGAAGTTGAAAGTGATTCCATTGAGAAACTTTTACAATGGCCATCAAAAGACAGAAAATCTTGAGGATGTTTACATAAACTTTCTAATAACACAATTGCTTCAGCTGCAGAGGCCATAGGGTCATGTCGCATAGACATTGGCACTGTTCCAGCATGCCCCTGAGAGCCTCTCATTGTAACCTACAATATTGATGCACATGGGATTGCTCAATCAAGATAAGAAGCTATAGCTCAGACAATAAGGTATCCATGATGAAAGAGTCCAAAAATTACATGTAAAGAGCCATCGTATAGATCTTGTACTGACTAGGATCTGCTATAAATTTTACCCTTATGTGAGTTATGGAAATACATGTAGCTCATGAGACTTATGCGATTTATCTTATTATTATCCCCATTTTGAATATTTTACAAATGAAGAAAATAATCTGCAGCTGCATAATAAAATTCTGAACAATGAAACAATTTCATCTTTTGTGAATCAAATGAACCGTAATTTAGACATGCAACTATGCAAGCTGAAACACTTCATATACCTTTAGTCGTGTCTGTCCAGCTATGCCTTTAACCACTGCTAGAGGATAGCCAACCCATTCTAGTACAGGTCCTTGTTCAATATGAATCTGCAACATGAACCAATTGCAAGGCATGAAGTCTGAAATTTTTAAAACAACTTACAAGTTCATGGTGCTGAGTTTTATTGTTGTTTTCAGAGAGGATACTCTAATACAGGCTTGTCTATAGGCCATCATACCTCAACATAACCCCAGACCGACTTTGGGTCATATTTGAGCTGCAACAAGTTCTCCTCTGTAATTTCTATGGAGTTCTTCTTAAGAGCATCTTGAATTGTTACATCACTGTACAAGGATTACACATAAATACATGGCTAATGAGTAGTATTGCAAACAGATATATGATGGGATTTATTCAAGGAAACCTTTTATCGGTAATTTTAAGTGCTGAAACTGGCAAAATTCCGGCTACAGCAGCACTGCCTAAGAAAGTAGACTGAAACCTTACTCCCTCTTCATCACTAAATGCTATTACCTGCAATGTTGGAAAACAGAAATAACATGAAACATATAAGTAGAGGGCATAGCCACCACAAATGGAAGAAATTTCTCTCCTCTTACATACTGTAAAACACGAAGGGAAAAATTACTCTTTTCCCTTACATAATCGTAAGACTTCACCACCCTTGGAATTCACTGAACCAATTATGTTTCTCTTTATTTTGAAAAGAATGGCCACAAATTGGAAAACAGAGTTAATGATGAAAGTTAACTGAAACTTCATAATAGACCTTCCACTGAAATTCCATCCAAAGATGTCTTAAACATATTTTTTCCTAATCACAATCGTATTAACATTTGCTCAAATGAGAAATGGCATATTTTCAAAGAAACCTCTGTTCAAGCAATATAATCACATAGCAGAAAAAGTTTCACAAGAAACTTCTCAAAAATGTTTCAATAATGCAGTGGTATCTTTCCATTAAAGCCTCCATCATTCACTGACCTCAACTGGCCGGCTTAGTTCTCCCAACTTCCCATTGATATTCAAAACCTTCAATGCAGCTAACACAGAAATGATGCCTAATGAACCATCAAATTTCCCAGCATCAACAACAGTATCCTGTTATAAGAAAAAAAGGGGCTATGAACTGTTAATTATTGGCATCCAAGAACACTGTACTCCTTGTCATCATGTTTTATGTTATGTTTTTCAAAGTCTAAATTCAATTAGGAAATATGAGGAAAAAACGTTACCAAATGGGAACCCATTAACAGAGCTTCAGCACTAGCATTCCTTCCCTCAACTCGACCATGTACGTTTCCCAAGGAATCAACCCACCTGGAAATCAAGATAAAACATGAGACCAGAATTCCTGAAACACTGTTTGGATGCAAAGAAAGATAGAAGCTGACGTTCTCAAACCCGCATCTTCCATCCATTCCCGGATAAGATTTCCTGCCCTCACAGCCGCTGGGCTCATGAATGTCCTCTCAAGATATCCATCACCATCACTTACCTGTTGAATTAGGCAATAATAGCAATATTTTAAATTTTAAATTAATCAAGTCAAGTGAGTGACAATAATGCAAAACAACTTTGGGTTCTGTAAAAATTAACAGTTTTTCAATGATCTTAATTTAAAACAAAATGTAAAAATCATGGTAATTATAGTTTGAGCCTGATACTGTTGCAGAAATTGTAACAATTGCAAGACCCCTGCTCTGCTTGTGATTGAATGTACACCTGATAGACATTAATAAAAAGATGCAGATAATAAATTATTTTAAAAAAAGAGCAGGAAGTCCAAATATGGCATACCCCTCCAAGCTGATGGAGTCTTGCCACAGCTTCATCCCTCAAAATTTCTGGGTACAAATCGCTCCCTCTGTTTTCATCTTCTTCTCCAACACCTATTCATATCATTATCATTGACAAATTCACATATTAATCAGATTCTATATACTTAATAATATTCATATTGAGAGGAACATGCCATTACTTACCAGAAAGCCCAAAGGAGGGAGAAATGTTTGAAGAAAGCAAAAGCACCAAATAGCAAACCAAGACCAATGAATTACGGAAACAGCTGGTGAAAATGGAGCTGGGATCAATGGCTGAATGATGGGATATCTTGGTGACACGTGTAACAGTTGCCATGGCTGCCACCTGAGCCGAAACCAATCTTACCAAGAGAGGCAGCCACGCAACTCAACTGATGCTAGCTTTCTGCAACTTGGGTTTGTAATGTGCACCTTAATTTCTCCTCTGTCTGATTGATTGTTGTGGTGATGGTGGCGGTGATGACTGGTGGGGGTTGATGTGGACCCACTATTCATGTGGGCCCCATGTGACGTGGCAGGATCTTGGTTTTAACATGTGGAGAGCAGCCATGCAAGATGCAGATGCGAGTAAATTGTAAAGTAATAAATATTCGGATCAAGGTCTCACTGGGCGGGCGCTGTCAAAAATTATGATTTTCTGATGCGTTACAGTTTTGCAATCCAATTAGGATTCTTTCATGAATTTTCATTTGAACTGTTTTAGACTATCACATGATCACATCAATGATTTTTTGTACCAAAATTTATAGAGTAAAGGGAGTGAACTTTACACACTCACAGAGTTTTTATTTTTATTTTTAAGAAATGGGATTCATTCGTAGAATCAAAGAAGCGTACATAAAACTACACGAAATAGTTGTCTCGTTAAAATCTTCCTGAGGGACAAACCCCATAATACAAAAAAGTACTACACATGTTAATAGTTAACAAGAGAGTTATTACCATTACTTTATTTGTGTTTTATAACAAGAGAGAATGAGAGAACCCTAATTATTTTATGAGGATTGAAAGAGACATTGCATCGCTTTCAAAACGAATATAGATGAATAAACAAATTTCATGTTCAAAACGAATTAAGTGGAAGTGATTGATATTGAATTTTACTTAACAAAAAGGAAACAGGAGTGAGTTGGGTGGCTGCATTGTCACACATCATATTATACCCTAGCATGATTTTAGTGCGATGTCGTAACAACTATGTAATTTCTCTAGTATGATTTAGAGGTGCATCTTTTCT